GAAAAAGAAATAAAAACACAAATGAGTGTATAATTATGCTTGAATAGTGCTATGAAGAAGGGTAGGGATCTCCAAAAGCTTCTAAGGAGGGGCCGTGGCCTGGTTTGGAAGGTCAGGGAAGACCCCCTCAGAGGAATGTTTGAAGTGAGATCTGAAGGATGAATAGGTTAATTAGGCAAAATAGGAGAAAGAACATTTTATTTATTTATTTATTTATTTATTTAAAATAGTTTTATTTATTTATTTTTCCCCCAAAGCCCCAGTAGATAGTTGTATGTCATAGTTGCACATCCTTCTAGTTGCTGTACGTGGGACGTGGCCTCAGCATGGCCGGAGAAGCAGTACGTTGGTGTGCGCCTGGGATCCGAACCCAGGCCACCAGCAGCAGAGCGTGCACACCCAACCGCTAAGCCACGGGGCTGGCCCAAAAGAGCATTTTAGACTGAGGAATTTGCGTGTGCAAAGGTCCTGGGGTGGAAGGGAACATGGTATATTCAAGGACTTGAAAAAGGGTCAGCGTGGTGCGTGCAAACAAGAATGAGGACTGACATGAGATGAGGCTGAAGAGGTGGTCAGAGGCTGGTGAATTTTCCCAAAGTTCACTGTCTGAGGAGATGGGGTGTGCGCACAGGCTAATAAGGATAGCAGCTACCATTTTTTGTGTAAACTAAGTGAGGGGATGTATGAAAGGGCATAACAGTGCCTGGCACACAGCAGACCCTCAATAAATGGTAGCTTCTAATATTGTTTACTGAGAGGCCAGCCTGGTGGCATAGTGGCTAAGTTCACACGTTCCGCTTTGGCAGCCTGGGGTTCACGGGTTTGGATCCCGGGTGTGGACCTACACATTGCTTATGAAGCAATACTGTGGCAGGCGTCCCACATATAATGTAGAGGAAGATGGGCACGGATGGGGCCGGCCCCGTGGCTTGGTGGTTAAGTGCACGCGCTCCGATGCTGGTGGCCCGGGTTCGGATCCCGGGCGCGCACCGAGGCACCACTTCTCCGTCCATCCTGAGGCCGAGTCCCACATACAGCAACTAGAAGGATGTGCAGCTATGACATACAACTATCTACTGGGGCTTTGGGGGGAAAAAATAAATAAATAAAATCTTTAAAAAAAAAAAAAGACGGGCACGGATGTTAGCCCAGGGCCAATCTTCCTCAACAAAAAAGAGGAGGATTGGCAACAGACACGTTAGCTCAGGGCTAATCTTCCTCGCCAAAAAAAATAAATAAATAAAATAAAATAAAAATTAATATTGTTTACTGAACTGTGAATTCTTAGAGGCCAGGGATTGTACTCCTTTATTCTCTGTGTCCACAGGCCATCTATGGAGGGAGAGGACTCAGCAAATGTTAGTGACCCAAGCTGAAAAGTGTGGCATTCAATCTGTGTCTCGGAAAAGGAGGGAAAAAAAGAGCACTTCTGTCCAGGAGGGTTCAGGCCAAGGCCGGGAGGCAGGAATAGACTTCACTGATTTGGGGAAGGGGGAAGAGACTTTGAGGCTCGTGGAAAGCTGAGTGGGTTTGCACCATAATGGTCATTGGTTGTCTCCCCAGCATCCATCCCCAGCCTGATTTTTATTTGGAGATCCTCTGGTTCCTCTCCCACTTAGACCGTGTGATGGGGATGGGGCTACATCCTCAGCATCAGGGATGAGGTGAGCACGTGACCTGGCTTGGCCAATCTTTATATCACATTCTCTTGGCTGTGGTGATTGGCTCATGCGTGGGCACATGACCTACACTGGTCCAATCAGAAGGGGTTGCAGGAGGGGGGGTGTAGCATCCCACCCACATAAAGGCCTGTCTGAGAGCTGAACCAATCCAGAGGCCTTGTCACTGAGAGATGACGAGAGAGAAACCAGTGACATCTCTTGAGAGCCTACAGCCAGGCCTATTTACTGGACTGTTCAGCTATGGGGCCAGTAACTGTGCTTCCGCTGGTGGGCATTAGGCTTTCTGTCGCTTGGCTCCTGAGGTTGGAAAGTTGGTGAAAGCAGTCTAGGAGGAGCCTGGATGTTGGTCCATCCCGTCTTTTCAATGTGGAGATGAGTCAGCCCCATGCTATGTCTTTTTTGACCCATAACACAGGCACGGGCATGTGGAGGGGGAGACAAGGGCACACAGTACAGAGTGACCAGCAGGAGAGGTGTAGGCAGTGGAAGTGTAAGGGCTGAGACAATTGCAGAGACCTTAATGGTGACAATTTTGTAGAGAACGGCCTGGGTCCCTGAATAACTACAAGGAGCAGAGCTGCCACCCACCTGGACTATTCACATGGGGACCGCTTTGTGACTAGACATATACTTCCCTGTTCTTTAGGCCACTGCATTGTTGGGTCTCTATCTAAGAGTAATCTGGCTTTCCACCAACTAATTCACTCTCCCTGATGCCTAGTGAGCTCCTTCCCATCCTTTAAGGCTCAGCTCAAATGTCCTCTCCTCCATGAAGTCCTCTCTGAACTCACCCAGAAGAATGATCAGCTCTCCTTGCTATGTGTTTCAAGCTTATACTCCTAAGTCCCTCCTACAGGCCTCTGTTACAGGTCGCATCTGAATCCAGTGTGCTCGTGATGTAGGGGGTGCCTACCCCACTGGATTGTGATCCCTCAAGGGCGGTGGTTGTAAACTGAGTTGTGGTGGATCATTTGACTCCACCATTCATACTCTGTGGAGGTCCATAGCGCTTGCAAGATGTCTGCAAAATCCTGGGAGATGCTGTGGGGGATGGAACTTAGATTCTTACAGTCAGCCAGAAATCTGAGAGCCTGTTCATGCTTGATTACTTCAGTTCGTGGACGCATCTCCGTCTTGTTCTCTGGAACACGTTTTGTTAAGCCAGATTTAGAATTCAGCCTCTTTCTCTGATTTCCACAAATCCCCCTCACACAGGTAGCAGACTTTACTGAAGGTTTGGTGGAGGTGGGGGAGGATTTTAATATCTAAAGTTGGTCCCTGTTTCATTCTCTTTCTCAGAAACCTGTGAGTTTCCTTCATAGGACTTCTCACAATTTGTAATTATTTTATTTATCTGTCTTTTCACTTTTTGGTTTGGTTTCCTCCAGGAGATCGTAAATAGGGACTGATCTACTCGCCATCATGTTTGCAGTGCTCGGCACTGGTAGGTGGTAGGTGGTAGGTGGTAGGTAGGGAACTGCTGGATGAATGAATGTGAATATGGGACACCCATCTTGAAAGTTCCTCTTCCACTAGGACATTTTCATCTAGCTCACCCCCTCAAAGTTTCCCAGGCCTTCTCCCTGTCCCCTTTCTCATCTTTTTTACCAGTTTGTCTCATGGGACCTCCAAAATTCTTCACACCCTGTTACGCAGAACAGTTCCCATTCTCTCTTGCCCCTACTTCCGAAACCGTCTGCAAATCCAACCCCCTCAAGGAACTCGGAAGAAACAAGAGGCCTTCTGTATGAGGGAATCTCCATTCCTTAGGACACGGCTGTGGTTTTATTTATTTATTTATTTCCTCCACCATTACGATTTTATCCCTAGAGCCCTGTATAGGGCTTGGGACAGGAGGAGTTGAGGCTACATGTGTTGTATTAAATTTAGGGGAATGGGGCTGGCCCCGTGGCTTAGCGGTTAAGTGCGCGCGCTCCGCTACTGACGGCAGGGTTCGGATCCCGGGCGCGCAATGATGCACCACTTGTCCGGCCATGCTGAGGCCGCGTCCCACATACAGCAACTAGAGGATGTGCAACCATGACATACAACTATCTACTGGGGCTTTGGGGAAAAAAAAAAAGGAGGAGGATTGGCGATGGATGTTAGCTCAGAGCCGGTCTTCCTCACACATACAAAAAAAATTTAGGGGAATGGAGAGCGTTACCTTGAGATGGGAGACTTTAGATGGTGCGGCAGATTAAAGATGGCCACACGCACAAAAAAGATGGCCACAGATTCTTTGCCAATCCTCCTATTAAGACGTAGGGTCAGTTGTTCTTCCTCTTGCATCTAAGCTGGCTGGTGGCTGCTCTGACCAATGGACTACAGTGGAAGTGATATTGTGCCAGTTCCAAGCCTAGCTTTTAATAGGACTAGAAGTTTCCACCTTGGTCTCTTGGAGCACAACTCCAACGATCTTGCTGAAGAGAGCACGCAGGAAGCCCCTGACACTACTTGGAGAGGGGTCCAGCTGAGCTCAGTCTTATTGCTGATGTCACCAAGGCCCCAGGCGTGTGAGTGAAGCCTCATGGGTGTTTTGAACTCTCAGACCAGATCAGCTAACCACTAAATATTGCCAAGGGACCACAGTTGACACCATATGGAGCAGAATAACCATTTGAGCCCTGCCCAAATTCCTGACCCACAAAATTATGAGATATATTAAAATGTTTTAAGCCACTAAGATAGATAATTGGAACAAAGGGAACAAGCCTCTTGGGCAGCCACATGAAGGATGCCAGCTGGGCAACCACCGGCACTCAGGAGAGCAGGCAAGTGATACTCTGGTGGGAAAAGGAAAGCAATGAGAGCCTCATTTGCACCCTGGCAGGGCTGTGGCTAGAGGGACAGGCAGTCAGTGGGCACCCCACCTCTCCCCGGCTGGCCCAAGCTAAGAGTCCTTGGTGGTCCATGACATTGGCCTCACAATGGAGGTGTTGACATATCTCACACTGAAGACATGAGACAGAAAAGGCACATATATATTGAGTTCCTACTGTGTACCAGGCACAGTGATGCACTTCTTTATAAACCAGAGCAACCCAGAGAGAGAGATGGAGAATTGAGGCTCCAAGGGGGAAGGCGATTTGCCCTCGGGACAGAGCTGGGATTGAAGCCTGGGCTGCTTGGCTCCTAAGCTCCTGGCATGGAACTGTGGCCTGGCCATATCAGAGGGGTTAGAGGGCCTCGAAGACCTCATGGTGGTGGTAACCACAGCCCCCAGTGGGGCTGAGTGGGTGGTCACCAGCACATGTGCATTAACCTGGAGGAGGGGCTGGTTCCCCTGCCAGGATGAGGTCTCGTATGCCTTTCCCAGGGAGAAGAGGGTGAGGGGATGTGGGGAGCCCAGGTGCCTGAAAACCCAGGGAATTAGGCCAATTGTTCTTACTGTACCCACGGAGAGCATGAAATGCTGAGGGACCCAAGCAAAGAAGCAGAGTCTCCGCAGGTGGGAGACAAAGGGCTTTAGAGTCAGAGACCAGGAGTCCAGGCCCTCCCTGCTGTGTGACCCGGCAAGGGATAGGGCACTTCGTCTCACCATGCTTCAATTTCCTCATTTGTAAAAAGGGAATAACCACAGTACCCACCCTGCTATTCATTCCCTCATTCATTCATTCATCCATTCATTCACTTACTTACTTATTCAACAAACACCTATTAAGCACCCATAGGCCCAGGCTGGATCCCTAAGGTGCAGCCCCAGCAGCATGCCCATAAGCTTCAGACCGCTAGCCAGCATGTGCAGGCCACAGGGGATAGAGAGATGATTGTCCCCAGACCTGGAACAGTTCCTTTCCCTTCCAGGGACTCTGTTTTCACTTCTAGGCAATGGGAGAGCTTATCACAGTGGAGGCCTGGAGAGACTTCCTGGGGCCCCTGGGCAAAGGCCACAGGGCGGTGAGCAGATCATGGGGTGGAGAGGAGGCAGAAGGAGATGGAGATAATTAATTAATTGTCAAACAAATGATTATTCTCTGGGCCAAGTTCTGTGACAGTGAGATGGGCCCTTTGCCCGTTGCCATCCCGAGAGGGCAGGCTGGGGCTGCGGAGGCAGATGGAGGGAGGGTGGGGCTGGCAGGAAAGTCTAAGCAGCTCCCAGGGCTGCCCCAGGCTAGGGTGGCCTCTATTTGGGATTGGAGCTGACACTCAGGTCCCTCTAGACTGCTCCAGAATGTGGTCTGGCAAGGAGGCCTTAGGCCCCCCAAAATACAGTAGGAGTTCTTCCTCTGTGTACAGCTCTATTCCAGAGCCCTACTCTCACCCTCTATGGCCCAAAGGCACACACGATTAGGGCCATTGTACAGATGGGAATATTGAGGCTCAGCGCAGCAGGCTAACTTGCCTGTTAAACTGAGACAAGAACCCACCTTCTTGGTCACTCCCAAGGCTCTGTCCCATTCCCACTCCCCCCATCTCCCCACTGACCTTCTCCTAACCCCGACTCCCCATTTATCCTCTTCCTGGGGCCCTGAAACCTCCCCATCACCATCCATGGTGATCTCGGAGCTGCCATCTTTCAGGAGGGGGTGAGTGTCAAGGAAGGGCTGGGATTTGGAGGCACACAGACTGGACTCGAATCCTACTGTGTGACAGTCTGGCTCCACGCAGGCAGAGGGGACACCTTCCTGTGCCCAAATACCCCTCCCTCCTCCCCCAACCCCTCCACCCATCCCTGGAGGCTAGGGGAAGGGAACTCACACTTCATATTTCACATTCCCTACCATCTGGAATCCCCACAGAAACCTGCCCGGTGAGGCATTTTACCAGGGAAGAAACTGAGCTTCTGAGAAATCATAAGACTTGGCCAAGATTACCCAGTTAGTAAGTAGCAGAGCCGGAACACAAGCCCTGGTCTGTCTAACTCCAGAGCCCACAACCTTTCTGAGGTCGATATCAAGAAACGAGAGAGGGAAGGAGAGCCCTGGCTGGGCAGCAGGATGTCCAGGCATCGGAGGACGTGGACTCAGGGGTGCCTGGAGGTTGGGGGATGCGGGGCCCGCTGACTGGCAGGAGGGGTGGTCCCATCCCAGTCTGGATGTCTCGAGGCAGCGCAGACTCAGCTCCAGCCAGCAGGTGTCGCTGTGACAGCCATGCTCCCCAGGGTTCTGACGGAAGGAGGTAGAGGGAGATGGTCAAGAGTAAGATGAAGATTGTGAACACAAAGAAGAGACAACAAAGGAAAAACGGGGGCTGCACCTGCGCTGGAGATGGTGGGGAGGATGAAGGACGTCGCTAATGAAAAGTACCCAGCTGGGTGCTCAACACACAGGAGTCGTCTTCCCACTTTCCCACCTGTGAAATCTTAATTTCTCTAGGCCTCAGTTTCCTCATCTGAAAAATGGGTATACAGCAGCTGCTTCACAGGGTCACTGTGAGGATGAAGAGTTACGTAAGTCTGGCACATTGCAAGGACTCGGTGAGTGTTTACTGTTGATTTCCCTCCTATCAGCAGCAACCTGCCCTGCTGGGGTCCCAGGGCTTTATCTCCCACACCCTCACAAACCCCCCAGTCTCACCAAGGACCTCCCTGGACACAGGGCAGGATCCCAAGAAGGTGGACGGAGATGCATGCAGAGTGTGTTCACCTGGAGGGTAAGAGGGTTTGGAAATCCGTATCCCGGGCAGGTGACATCACTGCTTGGACCTGTTTCCCTGTCAATGAAATAGGTGACAACGGCAGTGAATAAGCCAGCAGCAGATGTGAAACCCCTGGCCCAGAGGCTGGCACAGTAGCTGCAGGAATTTCGGTGCTGGTGTTGGGGCCTTGGGAGTCCCTGCTGTCACACATCGCCAACCGATTTGTGATTCTTAATCTGATATTCAGGAGCCTCTGATGGCAGAATGGGGCCCTTGTGCTTGTGCAGGATTTCTGAAAGCCGGAGAACCACCCCATATTTAAGTGGGGAGAGGTTACTCAAGCTGACAGAAGAGTCTCTGTTCTGGGGACGGGATCATCGGCTCTCCGGGAGGTCAGGAGGTGAGGCCTGCCCCCCAGAGCTGTCTTTGGCAAAGGGGAAACAAATTAATTATTAATCAATGCTCTGCTTTTTGAAATGGGATCTGGATGGGGGTGGCAATTAAAAAGTTGGGAGTCACTGATCTGGTTTACATTCCTCCCTTCACTCCAACGCCATTTTACAGGCAGAGACACTGGGCCCTAGTTGGGAGCCTAAAGATCACCGGCTCCAAATTGGCCTGTGGTCTGGCAAGACTGGGGGTGAGGGGTCGTCATTCTGGTCCTCCACTGGGAGGGAACTAACATTTATTGGGGGCCTCGTATGTGTCAGGAGCTTTACAGGCCTTCTCGTGAATTGTCACAATAATCCTTTGAAATATTGTGCCACTTTACAGATGAGAAAAATGAGGCTCAAGTTAAATGCTTTACTCAGTCTCACTCGTCCCCTCGATGACTTGACTCACTTTATTTCCTCTGTCTAGAGCAGTGGTTCTCAAATGGGGGCAATGTTGCCCCTTGGGGACATTTGGCAATGTCCAGAGACATGTTTGGTTGTCACTATTGGGGCTGGGGGTGCATCTTGTGAGTGGAGCCCAGAGATGATGCTGAACATCCTGTAGTGCAGAGGACAGCCTCTGCAACCCCGACGATCTCATCAAAATGGGAATAATGCTGTTTGAGAAACTCCGGTCTGGAGAGCTCCACGCCCTTCCCTCTGGGTCACTCCTGAGGCCTGTCCTGAGTCCCTGCCTGGGAGAGGCTGCTCTTCCTTGTAGCCCCTGCAGCCACCATCTGTCCTAACAAGTCAGCAGGTCGTTCTGCCTCTCACCAGAGCTCTTTGCATAAATGATATTGGATCGATAGTCAATAAATGCTGGTTGGCTTGAAACACAAGGTGGTGCCTGACTTTCTATTGACCCCTTGCTTCAATTAGGCTGGTGGCTCCTCCAGGACTGGAATGTGTGTGAGAGACCCTATAGCCTCTTTGTCCTCGCCAGAGAGGTAGCAGGCTTCCTGTTACTCCAAGTGTGCAAGTCGAGGCTGCCTGACCGCTTACCCGTGCAGGTGTAGTACAAGGCAGAGGTTAAAAAACACAGGCTTGTATGTCAGAAAGATCCTGATTCAAGTCCCAACCTTGCCGCTTACTTGCTATGCAACCTTGGGCACGGTACTTAACCTCTCTGAGTCTCGGTTTCCTCATTTATGAACCAGAGATGATGACAGTAACCACTTTATAGGCTTGTTGTGAGGATCAAATCAGACAGCTCATGCACAGTGCTTCACACGGTGCCTGGCAGATGGCAGGCATTCTGAGAATGTTGGCTGTTTCTGTTTTTAGGAGATGCACGCAGCAATGGAGTTTCCACTAAATAATATCAAGGTTCCTTCTACCTCTGAAATTCCCCAAACATGCTAGGCTCTCTCACACCTCTATGCCTTTGAATGAGCTGTTCTTTTGGCCTGGAATGCTGTTCTCTCCACACGTCTTCCAAACACACTCCTCTTCATTCTTCAAGTCTCAGGCCATGTCGCCTCTTCTATGAAGCCTCCCTTGATTGCCGTCTTCTCCTATGCATCACCATGATTCTCCACTGCGTCCTGGGATCATAGTGCCATTGTAGCATCTATTCTGTTTTTTTGGAATTTTTTTGGACTAAATTTCCCCCCTATCCAGTCTGAGGGCTCCCACACACAGGGATTAGGTCAGATCCCTCCTTGCACCCCAGCACCAGAACACGAACATCCTGAACATCCATAGAATGAACCCATTGGGTCTGATTATAGGAGGTCTCCCGGAAGGCTTCTTCCATAAATATTTATCAAGGGTCTCTCATGTCCTGGCACCATGCACTCTCCAGCAATGATCAGCTTTTGAATCCACAAGGTCACAGGGAAGAGTGGAGGGAAGGAGACCGACAGTCCATTTCTTCTAGGCACTTGTTTGGTTTCTTAAAAATAATATAAGAGTATTATAACAATAATCAGAGTCCCTGTCATGGTTTTAAAGTATGTCTACCAATTCTTTGACAATCTTCCCCTCAAAAAGTGGAGACTAATTGCTTACCCCTTCAGTGTGGACTGGACTCAGTGAGTCACTTCTAATCAACAGAATGTGGTGGAAGTGATGGTGTGTGAATTTTGAGCCTAGGTCTTGGGTCTCACTCTCTCGGGTCACTTGCTCTGGGGCACGCTGGCTGCCATGCTGTGAGCACACGCAAGCAGCCCAATGGAGAGGTCCACGTAAAAAGGAACTGAGGCCTCCTGCCCACAGCCAGGTGATGAAGCAGTCTTGGAAGTGGACCCTCCAGCCCACCAAGTCTTCACACACCTGCAGCCCTGGCTCAAGTCTCAACCACAAGCTCATGAGAGACCCGGCCAGCACCACCAGCTAAGCAGCACCTGAATTTCTTTTAAAGATTTTATTTATTTATTTTTTCCCCCCAAAGCCCCAGTAGATAGTTGTATGTCATAGCTGCACAACCTTCTAGTTGCTGTATGTGGGACACAGCCTCAGCATGGCCAGAGAAGCGGTGCGTCTGTGCGCGCTCGGGATCCGAACCCGGGCCACCAGCAGTGGAGCACGCGCACCCAACCGCTAAGCCACGGGGCCGGCCCATCACCTGAATTTCTTGACCCACAGAAACCATTGTGGGATAATGTTTGTTGATTTAAGCCACTAAGTTTTGGGGTAATTTGCTATTCAGCAGTAGGAAACTAATAGACCCCCCAAGCCCTAGAGCTGTGTTTCTCAACCCTGGCTGGGCATCGTTCTCAACCCTGGCTGGGCATCGGAATTCTCCATGAGGCAGTGTGTGTTCAGTGGCTAGAGAATGAGCGCAGGGGTCAGAGAACTGGGTTTAAACTCTGATTCTGCAACTTACTAGCTGTGTAACTTTGGATAAGTGACTTACCCTCTCCTAGCTTTAGTGATTCCATCTATAAGGTGGTGGTAATAGAACTTATCTTCTTAGGATTGGTAGGAAGACTAAACAAGAAAATACATGTCAATTCTGCCTAGAAGGTAATCTGTGAGAGAGAACGCTGGGGCCTGTCTGTCTTGTTCGTTGCTGTAGCCCAGTGTCTAGAACAGTGCCTGGAACACAGCAGGTGCTCAGTAAATATTTCTCCACAGAGAATGAAGTCAGTAAACTGAGAGAACTCAAAAATGCTCGTTCATATCAGCTCCCTGGCTTTCCTACCTGTCTTGTCTGCTGGGTCCTCCTAACATTCTCCAACTCTAAGTGTGGAGCTCAGGACCCAGTCTTCAACCCTCTTCCCTGTCTACATTCGCTCCTTGGTGGCTTTATCCATTTTCATGACTTGAAACACCATCTCAACACCAGTGATTCCAAACTTGCTATCTTCAGCCCAGAACTCTCCTAATACCCAACTGCCGCCTTGACATCTCCACTTGATGTCTAACAGGCATCTCACACTTAACGTGTCCAAAACCAAAATGCTGAAATCTTCCCCCAAACCTTCTCTACTGCTGTCCTCCCCATCTCAAGGGCAGCTCCGTCCTTCTACTTGCTCAGGCCAAAAATACTTGGAGTCATCTTTGACTCGTCTCTTTCACTCACATCCCACATCCAATCCACCAACAATCCTGTTGGTCCTACCCTCAGAATATATTGGAATCCTGCCAATTCTCACCTCCTCCACTGCTGCTGTGTGACTGAGGCACCAGCATCTCTCACCTGGATTATCTTGAGGGTGTCCGACCTGGTCTCCCTGCTTCAGCCCTTGACCTCCTATAATCTGTTCTCCACACAGTATCCAAACAGATTCTTCCCAGCTCTGTGCTGTTACTCCAATGGCTTCTCATCTTACTCAGATTAAAAGCTGAAGCCCTTATGCTGTCCTTCAAGGCCAATATAGTGCCTGACACGCCCATCTGACTTCATCTCCTACTACTCTCCCCTTTCCTTGGCCTCCTTGTTCCCTCCAATATTCAGGCATGCTCCCACCTCAGGGCCTTTGCATTTGCTGTTCCCTTTGCTTTCTATCTAACCTTCTTCAGGTCTTTCCTCAAAAATCTTTGCTCATGAGACCTTCCCTAACTGACCTGACATCCAATTTAAAAGTGGAATCGATCCCCATCCTGCACTCCCTTCCTTGTCCTGTTCCACTCCATGACACTTACCTACCATATATTTTACTGGTTTGCTTATGTGTGTCTCCTCCCAAGACATTCTCCACCAGAGCAGGGGTTACCGTCTGTTTTATTCACTGCTGTCTGCCCAGTTCCTGGCACACGGTAGGTGCTTAATAAATATTTGAAGGGTGGGGCTAGCCCCGTGGCTTAGCGGTTAAGTGCGCGCGCTCCACTGCTGGCGGCCCGGGTTCGGATCCCGGGCGCACACCGACGCACCGCTTCTCCGGCCATGCTGAGGCCGCGTCCCACACACAGCAACTAGAAGGATGTGCAACTATGACATACAACTATCTACTGGGGCTTTGGGGGGAAAATAAATAAATAAATCTTTACAAAAAATAAAAAAATAAAAATAAATATTTGAAGGGTGAATTCAGATGTTCGGGGCGCAATGAATTAGAACCTGGTGTGTGGGTGGTGCCCAGAAATCTGTATTTTAAAAAGGCATCCCAAGTGCAGTTGGAGTTGAGAAGCCTGATCCCAGAACCTCAGCAGTAGAGAAGCCCAGGAAGATCATGCAAAGTCCAGCCCTCTCCTTTCACCAATGACGTCAGGGAGGCCAGAGCGGGCAGGAGTTGCCCAGGTCACGGGGTGGGTCGGGGGCAGAGGAAGAATTAGGATTTAGATATGGGCACCCAGCACAGGGCTCTCTCTGCAGCTCTGGTCGGCCTGGGCCTGCCCAGTCTGATTCCAGGGCAGACTGCGAGGGGAACCGCTGAGTCACTGGAACGGAGGCTCAGGGCTGGGGTCGCCCCCAGTGCCGGGTGGCAGTGGGGCAACATGGAGCTGCCCTCACCTCCTCCAGGTGATTGAGAGAGAGAAAGGCAGAGCTTGTCCTGGCCTCCCGACTCCTGAGGGACCCTCCCCTCCAGGAGCCCCACCTTTGCCCAAATTAACCTAGTGGCGAAGTTATGCCAGCGTGTAATTTCAAGACTAGATCACAGCCTTTGAAATGACTAATCCGTTAAAAAAAAAGGTAAGACCGACAGTAACAATTGAGCTTTGGGGAAATGGTCTTAAAGTCTAACTCTCATGAGGGAGCTGGCTGGCATAACTTGTCAGGCCTCTGAAATGCTGGAGTAGGGGATGTTTCAAAAACATTTGAATGCCTCTTTACCAGGTCTAGGATTTCCCAAACCTGGATCACCTGGGGCACTTGTGAAGACGCAGGTTCCTGTCATCGCTCAGATGTTGGGTTCAGTGCCTCTTGGATCAGGCTCAGGAATTTGGGTTTTAAGGAATTCTTATGCTCTGCAAGTTTCTGTTTTCTTTTTTTTTTTTTTTTTTGAGGAAGATCAGCCCTGAGCTAACATCTGATGCCAAGCCTCCTCCTTTTTGCCGAGGATGATCGGCCCTGGGCTAACATCCATGCCCATCTTCCTCCACTTTATATGGGACGCGGCCATACAGTGCGCGCCAGGATTCGAACCCGCGAACCCCTGGGCCACCATAGCAGAGCGCGTGCACTTAACTGCTGCGCCACCAGGCTGGCCCCTATGCTCTGCAAGTTTGAGAAACACTGCCCTGGGCCAGTAGCCTGTGGAGCAATGGATCTTGTAAGGCAGTGAGGCCTTGGTGTCAGGCCCTCCCTCATTCCTAATCTGTTCAGAAACGGCAAGACCCAATTCCAACACATTAAAGAAAAACCGAGTGTGTCTGTAAACCCCAGCAGACTCTTACACTTGTCAGATGCATCTGTTGCTCCAAGGAACGCCTTGGGCACCTTTATGACTCAGCAGGTACTGAAGATGGTCCGTCCTACCTGGAGTCTTCTAATGGGCAGAGGTTGCTAGGAGATGCCCCAGGACAACAGGAGCGTCACTGGGCTTCGTGGCAGGAGCACCTTGACTGGTTCCAGAGTGATGGATTTGGACCCAGGCAGGCTTGACTCCTGTTCATGCTGACCATTACTCTGCTGTCCTAGCGCTCCCAAGTGGACACACATGGAGGTCACAGTCACACACATACCCCCAAGGACACATGTGTACACAGGGAAGTGAGAAAGCCTAGGTCCCCTGTAGACAAAACACTGCTTCCTGCTGTTCTCCTCCAACTCGCCCTTCCAGCCTGGCCAGTTCTAAAGCACGGCTCTAATTGAGAAGCTTCTGCTCAAAATCCTCCCATGGGTCCCAATGCCATCACATCAGGTTGATGCACTTTGGTTTGACCTTCAGGGCTGCTATAACCTGGACATAACTCCTTCCCTGTGGACAGCAGCACAGTGGCCCCCAAAGATGTCCAGGTTCAAATCCCTGGAAGCTGTGAACACGTTACATGGCAAGAGGGACTTCGCAGATGGGATTGGGTTGAGGGCTTTGAGACGAGGAAATTATCTTGGATTATCCAGGTGCGCCCAATCGAATGACAGGAGTCCTTAAAAGTGGAGAACCTTTCCTGGCTGTGGTTAGAGAGAGGAGATGACAGAAGAATGGTCAGAGAGATGCGACATTGTTGGCTCTGAAGATGGACGAAGGGGGCCACGAGCCAATGCGGCAGCCTCTGGGAGTTGGAAAAGGCAAGGAAATGGATTCTCCCCTAGAGCCTCCAAAAAGACATGAGACCCTCCAGACTTCTTGATTTTACCCCAGTGAGACCATGTTCAACTTCTACAGAACTGTAAGAATACAAATTTATATTAAGACACTAAAGTTGTAATTTATGACAGCAGTAGGAAACTAATACATTCCCCATTGAAGCTTCTTCCAACCAGTTAGTCTCTGGCTATTCTTAGCCCAGACACTGTGTGTTTTCCTCCCTCCACACCTTTGCTCACGCCGTTGCCCCTGTCCGGGATACTCAGATCGCCTCCCTCTCCTGAGCTCCTGTTAACAAGTGCCTTTCACTCACACTGTCCTCAGCATCAACCACTTGCTGCCAGCATTCACCCTTCGGCCTGCTCACCCTGTGCTCTCACTGCACCATAAGCTCCTTGAAGGCAGCCTCTGTGGCTTATTTTCCTCTGGACCACGACCAGCAGTGGTCCACTGAGGTTTGCATAATGGGCCTGGGGCATCCTTATGTACCATCTCTGGTTCTTAGCCCCTAGCTGCCTCAGGATCACCCGGGGATCTTGACAAAAACCCCAATTCTTCCAAATCACCATGAGATAATGGGAGGCAGCTCCCCATGTATTACTGGGGGAAAAGTTCCAAGATTCAGAGATAAGCGAAAAAAGCAGGGAGTTGAAGAGTGAGACTATGTTATCATTTGTGCAAAAAAGGCGAAAAATATTTACATAGTTTTAAAAAGAATTGACTATCTTTAGAAAATATGAAAAACAGGTAAGAAGACAACCCCCTGGAACTTTCTGAATTCTGTACCATATATACATATTACCTATTCACAGAAGTAGATACAATTTTAAAAATTCAAAGTATTAATCCTGGCTGCATTGCCAGAAAGGATCCAGGATGTCCCAGGTGGGGCGCAGGAATCTGTGTCTAAAGCACCGTGTGCAGCTCATTCCACGGCAGGAACTGCATTGTCAGGAAGAGGGCAGGGCCAGGACGCAAAGGTATTTGGAAGCATAAACTTAAAACGCACTTAATCTGAAAAACAAGTAGAAACCTCTCCAAGGGATTGTGAAGCCAGGTTGGGGAATCCACTGATTTCGTCCCACCTCCGCATTTTGTGGACCAGGGAAGAGAGGGAGAGTGACTTGCCCAAAGCTACACAGCCAGTCAGAGGCACAGGCCAGTGGCCCAGGAATGTGTGATAATGACAATGACATTGACTCCCAGCCCCTGCCCACCCTCATGCAGGGACCCTGCTGAGTCACAGGGCAGGAGGACAGGAAGATAGAGAAGAGAACACCATCTTTAATCAACCCACCTGCACAGAGACCAGGGGAACTCTCCCTGCCTTGCATGGTCCCAGTGAGAAGAGAACTTGGTCATCTTGCAAAAACCGTCTTATAAAAACAAAGGCTTCAAAGCACCAGTGGCCGAACGCATTGAGTAGAAAGGGGGCTGGGGGAGCGGGGGTGAGATGACAGCTGGAGGCAGGAGGTGGCCCAGTGGCAGCATAGCAGCCAGACCTGAAGGCAACTGTCCTCACTTGCGCTGTACCTATCAGCTAACTGGGCTGACCATGTGGGACCTTGGTGCCTGTGGTGACCAGCAGAACTCCTGGGGCTGGCTCCTTGCACAGCCCTGCAGATGGGATGATGGGGTAGGATCCTAGTTCAGGCTATTTTGGCCTTAGACAGTAGAGAATGCTACATCAGAGGGCAGAGAGTGAGGAATCTCCCAGAGTGGTCACCATGGATGGGCTTAGGTATGCAAAGGGTCTCCACTTCCCTCCAGTTCCCCACGCCTCGTGCCCCCCTTCCTAACCCAGGGCCACTCCCATTTCACAGACCAGGAAGCTGAGGCCTGACCCTCCTGCCCTCAGACTCACCAGCCAGGGCACAGGACGCAGGGTCCTCATGGGTGCCTGTGGAGGGAGGTGGGGAGAATGAGCTCCTGTCTCTGCTTGCTCTCAAGGAAGGGTGCTGGCCCTCCTGACCCCCAACATGACCCCCACCCACATTCTGCCTCTTAACTCCTTCAGGCCTTTTTAGAGGCTGCTTCTGGAAGTGGAGTGGTCCCAGACACTGATGATCTGTGAACACTGGTGACCGGGCAGTGCTGACTAGCCTTCGTCCACTCTGGAACCACAGATCTTCCGACGGTGAGGTGGATGGAGCCGTCAGCGGTTGGCGGAGTTGCTGAGGGGGTAAGGGATCGTGGGTGCAGCAGACCCAGCCTCAGGGACACGAAAGGGGGTGAGGTGACTGAGTTGCGGTCCCCTTTTCCTGGAGAGAGCTTGACGGGTTTGCCAGCAGTGGACAGAGGAAGGCTTCCCTGTGGGTCAGGCTGAATTCAGGGCTCTAGGCTCCATCCATCTGGTTCCCGACAAGAGAATGGGTATATTGCTTTAAGAGGTGTTGGCGAGTGGTGGCAGTGATGTGTGAGTGGGGTGTAGATCAGATGGGTTCTAGAGTGTCCAAGCTGGAAGGGGGCTTGGAAATGGAACTCAGAGACCAGACATCGGGTTTTGGAGTTTGAAACTGCAGAAAGTACACTGTGTTCAGGACCTGCCTCCACCAAAAGCCTAGCTGTGTGGCCTCAAGCAAATCGCTTCACATCTCTAGGCCTCAGTTTCCAATATCTGCAAAGCGGGAATTACAATCCCAGCCTAGCCCAGGGAATTGAGAGCAAAATGAGAAGGCTCGAAAGAGCTCCATCTGCTAAGGGATTATTTTAATTATTTGAGGTGGGGAAACTGAGGTCTAGAGAGCACAAGAGCTTTGCCAGATGTCACACCGAGAGTCAGTGATGGAGCTGCGATGAGAACCCAGGACTCCTGCTCCCAGTTCCCGGTAACTTTCCCCAGAGCTGGTGAATGAGTGTGGTGAGATGCAGTGAGTCCGTCCTTCCTGCCGTTTCTCTCTGGACAGGGGACAGGGTGCTGGGAGAAGGGTGAAAGAGAGGCTGGAGAAGGAAGGGAGGCCCTAGCGCACGCCAAGGCTGAGATAAAAAAAAATACAAACCCGGTGATCCCCCGGCCCCGTCCCGCCCCGCCCCGCCCCTGAAATCCAGGCTGCGAAGGGCCAAGTCCAAGTCCGCAGGCTGCAGTCGGTCCACGGGCCGCCAGGGGGCGCGCCTGCCGTCTTGGCCCGAGCTCGCGGCAGCGGCTGTCAGTCTAGCTTCCGTGCGTGGCTGGGCGTGGAGCAGAAGCTACCCTGACCTGCAGGAAACAAACGCGGGTTGGGGAAGTGCACTCCGAAGTACGGGGTGGAGAGATCCGCTGCCCTCCCCACTCCTCCTCCCTTCTCCTACACTAACGCAAGGGCCCTCCACCCCACCCCGCTCCGCGCCATGACCCACGTGTACAGAGGCTGCAGTTGTAAATGCGACGTCTTCTGGGGCGCCTGGTATCCGTAGGAGTCAAAGCCGCCGATGAAGTCGACTGCGGAGGGGGAAGTGGCGCACGGTTAGGGACGGGCCTGTGGGGGCGAGTTACGGGAGGCTGGGTCCTGAAAGCGAAGAATCTGAGGGACAGACCCTCAGAGCCTTAGGGGCGGGGCTTTGCTGCCGGATCTTGAGGGATGGGCCTATGGGGGCCGGGCTTGGAGGAACCCGGCCAGGAGTGGGCCAAGGCCCTAAGAGGATAGAGAGATTGAGGGGTGGGTGTGGGTGTGGGGCCGTCCTTAAAGGGGGAAGGCTCTTGGGGGTGGGACTCGAGCCACTTAAGGGGGCAAGACCTCTGGAGGGGGAGGGGAGGACATGGCACTGCTTGACAGGGGTTGGGGCTCCACAAGGCCCTGAGTGGCAGGGTTCTAAGAGGGGCGGGTAGGGGAGCGGTGCCGGGGCCGTGGACTGGACACCTGGACGTCTGGGCCTCAGCCTAAAATGGGCTTGTTCTGCAAGACCCCCACCCACTCCTGCTGCTGCTTCTCCCTAAGAGGGGCCCCTTGGCCGCCCCAGGGCTCCCTCCCCCAGAGGTCGCTCCAGCCCCTGTCCAGGGTGCTGAAGGCGCGGGGTGGCGCGAGGCCAGGTTTCCCCACTTCCCTAGGGGCGCCGCATGCACGCACGCACTCACAGCTGTCCTCCTCCTCCAGGAACACTTTGCTCACGTAGCAGGCGAACACGAAGCCGAACAGCTAGGGAGGGAAAGAGGAGTGGGAAGCTCTTCCTCCACCCCCTGCCCACCCGCACTGGAGGGGCAGAGGGGCGGGTGTACTAAGATGAAGGCAAACCCAGAACAACTTCAAGTTAAATAACTGAGCCTTAACCTCAAATATACCTGGTTCCCTTCTCCGTCCGGGGAAGGTGACTTTGGACAAGTAATTATCTTACCTCTTTGAGCCTCAGTTTCCCCAGCTGGACCTGGGCAGTACCTTATGGCTTGTTAAGGGGAAAGAGGATTATGTGACTTTGTGTGTGTAAAGTGCCTAGGGCAGGGCTGGCCCTTGTAGAAATGGGAACTATTACTATCTTGGAGCCATTCTTATTTTATTTTCACAACTCTGTGAGGTTGATACTGTCATTCCTTTTTGTGAATAAGGAAACAAGCTTGGAGAGGGCAAGCATCTTGTCCAAAGTCACACAGCAGGTATATTGGAGATTTTAACCCAGGACTGACTCTTGGTCTGATGCCTCATCCTATTCATTAAACTTGCTCACTCCTGATTTGGGACTGGGGCAGGGGTGAAGGGAGGTGGTACCAGATATGGAAAGAGAGTGAGGTGGTACCAGATACGGAAACAGGCTGGATGACCTAGGTTTCTCCCTTCTTAACTAGGGCTAAACAAAGGGGTTTGTGGACTCTACCTCGGGGGGTGTGTGGGGTAGGGGGACAGGAGGACTCACAGCCAGGAAGATCTGCAGGGCGCTGCTGAGTGCTTCAATGTAGGGATAGTCAAGCAGGCAGCCGGTGACAGAGATGACATGGTGGTCCTCCAGGGCCAGGCGGGAGTTCAGGACAGGTGTCACCAGGCAGCCTGGCCCATTCTCCATCCACCAAGAGCGGTGCAGGGACGTGTTGAAGGTCATGATGAAGTCCCGGTCCTGGGGTCAGAGGGGCCTAGGATACTGAGCTGGGGGGGGGAGGGGATCCTCCCCAGGCCCCAAGAAACTTTATCTGCGAGTCTACATTTGGCCAGTAGGTGGCGCTTGATGACCATGCAGGCCTCACTCTTCCATCAGAGACTGAAGGGGCTGGTGCTAACCCACAGGAGCCCCAGAATTTCAGGCTGGAAGGGACATTAACAGTGACTGGGTCCAATTTCCCAGCCACTGGTGAAATCCTCAATACAGACCCCTTCATGGCCCATTCAGCCTCTCCACTGCTCTCCGTGTGTGTGACCCTGGGCAAACCTCTCCTCTCTTGGTCCTTGCTCTCTCCATTTGAAACGGAGAAGGGGCTGGCCTAGATTGGCAGTTCTCACCCACGGTATGCATCTATGTGTTCATCAATCCATTACCCATGCGGCCAGTTAACAAATATCACTGTGTGCTGACCAGGTGCCCAGCACCAAGATGTGCGACCTTGTTTCATCCTCCCAGCAACCACATGGTTGCTGCACTTACTAGATGAGGAAACTAAAGCACAGAGAGAGTAAGCCACTTGCCCAGGGTCACACAGCTAGGAAATGTTCGAGCTGGCATATGAATCTAGAAGAACTACAAAGCCAATGGTCTCATTCATATATTTTGCCTCCTTTCTATCTAAAAATAGAAGTTGTATCCTCTGGGCTTGCTCTAACTTCCACTTTCTTCCATAGTTCTCCATGTAACGCGGTCCACTCAATTTTCCCCGAACAAACTCTAACTAGTCTCTTTCCCTTCTGAAAAATATCAGTAAGAATTGGACTCAAATCTTTGTGGTCTAAGCAGTACACAGGGCACAGCATTTTCACCTCCCTTGCACTGAACAGGTGTGGGGCCTAAGAGTAGCTTTCTGGGGCACCACATACTGCTGGTTTCTACTGAGCTGTGGTCAGCTGGCACCCCAGCCCATCTTTCCACAGACTGCCCTTCAGTCTTGTCTGCTCCATCACTTGTTTCTGAGAAGTGCACAGGAGGCCCGAAACAAAAATGGGGCGGTGGAGGATGAGAGCACAGACGATTTGGGTGTGTAGAGGGAAGTCTCTTCAAGAGATGATGCCCCAGACACACACCACACAGGAGCCCTTGGGGTAGGGGATGAGAAGGGTCAGGCTCTGCCCTCTGGCACTGCCAGGCCTGAGGCTTACCTGGGACAGCTGTCCAACCTCCAGGTAGAAGCAGATGATAAACGCATTCCAGCCAACCCAGAGCACCAGCCAGGCTGCGTACTGGGGAAAACAGAGGTGGGATCAGGATGGGCGCTGGGGGAGTGGGGATAGGGCATGTCAATGGAGACAGAGCTCAGGGACTGAGGAGAACTTTGCAGGGGGAAATATGACAATACCTCACTCAGAGAACACTTTATAGTTTAGAAATCATTTTTACAGCCATTCAGTCCTTACGACAGCCCTGCAGGGAAGGCACTGTCCTCTCTTTAATCAAGCCTAGAGAGGAGGTTTAAGTTTTCCAAGATCACACAGCTAGGAAGAGGCAGGGCTGGCACTCAAACCCTCTGGTAGCTAATCCTATCCACTCTGAAGAAAACAACAGACACAGGACGGCATCCTACCCGTGGCAAAGAGCTAGAGATTTCCACCCAAGTCCTATGCCTGCAATTCCAGTGGCTGCCATGGCAGACAGTGCTGTTGACAGCGGTGCCTGGGGCTTTCCTGAGAACTGGAGAGAAGGGTTCTCTTACTTCAGGTGAGAGAGAGCTCTGGAAGGGCCCTGGTCACCTGGCTGTGGGAGCCGAGCCAGTGGGAGGTGGGGAGAAGCCCTCCAATGAGTGGGAGGGGCTCTGGTGGAGCACGACATTGTGTGTCACTGTTATTCTAGGTGTCAGGCATTTACGTAGTAAATCTACCGGAAAGCCTTTTCCCTGAAGAGAGTCTTATGAATGCGTCACTGAGGAAGAGCAGGGGGCCAGGGTGAGCCTAGTGAAAACAGGAGCTTGACAGAGACCGTCAAGGACCAGGGCTTGGAAAGAGGAAGCAGGAGGAGGGGGCCAGGGACACAGTCCACTCCTGGGACTGGAGCACAGGAGGCACTGACCTCAAAGCCACACTAGCCATTCTCAACCACATTCTCGAAGAATATCAAGGGACAAAAGCCAAGCCTTCCTGAAGCAGCCTGAGAAACCAAACAAGACAAGGCCCCTTCCTCCCACGGGCTGTCTGAGGCAGTGTGGTGACGTGGCAGGAACCTCCACTCTGGATCTGATGCTCTAATCCTGCCACTTATGAGCTGTGTGACCTAGGAAGGCTCATAACGTTTCTGAGCCTCATTTCCTCATCTGGAAAATGGAGACGGTAAGATAGACCTTGCAAGGCTGTTGTAAAGATAAGTAAAGCATGAAAAACTCTTAGCAGTGTGCCTGGCGCATGGTAGGCACTCACTAAATGATCTATGTTGTTAATATTGGGATTTTTCCCTAGAAAATTCTTTAGGAAAAATACCAATCTTGTCTCCGCTGAGCAAAGAAGCATTTGGACTTGGGGATCCACGCCACTAGCTGGCCTAGAGCCCAGACAGGGCAGGGGTCTGAGTGCGTGGGGTGGGGGGCAGTTCTGGCTGGAGGAGCAGGGGGAGGGCTGAGGGTGAGGAGGGGGGCTTCTTGGAGAGAGGCCAGGTGAGTCGTACCAAAATGAGGTACCGGGAGCGGTACTGCACGGTGCCAAAGATGCCCAGGATGACCGCCATGATGTGCAGGAAGTTGGCGAGGATAGGAGCCCACTGGTAGCCCAGGAAGTCAAAGATCTGCCGCTCCAGCGCAGCCACCTGTGGGAAAGAGCAGCTGAGGCCACAGTCACCCCTTAGAAGCGGAGGACAGGGACTCCTCCTCGACCTCGTGAAGCAGGTGACACCAGTTACCACGGTGATGAGACACCATGGCCTGATGGTGCACAAGTCTGAGAGCCATCCCAGCCCCGCGGTACTGAAGGGATGCTGGGAGGTGGGGCAAGTCTGTAGGGGCGAGAGGGGGACTGAGCCCTGATCATCACTTTTGGGTGGGCTGCGGGGAGACAGGAGTCAGGGTTCAGAACACCTTCCTCCCTGCTGAGAGCCCTCTCCCCCAGCAGCTCCTGCACCCTCCCCAAGTGGGGCTCTCAGCTGGTGGAATGAGGATCCAGACCGCCTCCCTCAGCCCTGGGGGGGCAGGGAAGGACCTAGGCCTGAGTCACCTCTTCTGGAGGTTGTCCTGGCCCATGGAATCCATGGGCTGCAGAGAAAGGGATTTTTTTCCACTCCCCTTCCAAGAGGGGGCTGCAGCAGATTGCAGAATTGGCCTCAAATCGTTCCTCTCCCTCTTTCCATGCTCTTTGGCAGTGTCCTCCCACCCTAACGCTGTGCTTGGTCATGTGACTTGCTCTGCCCAATGGGACCTGAGCAAACACACACAAAGGCTTGAAAACAGCTGGTGCCCTGGAGCCCGCCTACTTGCTACACGTGTGACACAGAGAACACCCTGTAAAAGAGCCCGAGCTGACCTGCTGGAGGAAGAGAGCCACACGGAGGAGAACCGAGGCCCCCCAGCTGACAGCCGGTCAAGCATCAGACACGTGAGTCAGGCCATCCTAGATCATTTGGATGCCAGCCAACCCACCAGGTGACCACAGACACGTGGCCCAGACCAGAAGAATCTCCCAGCTGACCTACAGAACCAGGAGCTAAATAAAATGGTTCTTTCAAACCACTGAGTTTTGGAGTGAGTTTTTACACAGCAAAAGCTGACTGATACAGGACCCCATCAACACGCCCTTTCCAGCAGCCCCAGTGCCATCTTTCAGCTGACACGCTAGGAACACAGGTACCAAGGACACCTATTGTTACTGACTGTCCAATATCCCTTCTTCTGGTGACAGAGCCCATCTCTTGGTTGGGAAACCACCTCCCGGACACTCAGTCCATGTGGCTTGGGTGGGGCTGAGCCCACTTGTAGTTTCTGCAGTGGGCTCGTGGCCCAGGCCTAACCAACCAGTCCACACACAGGGATCTGTTCCAGGATGGGCACCCACTCTTGCCCTTCTCCTGAGTCTCCCTGGGTGTTTGCTGGAGCATCGGGACAGAGATGCTCTCTAGCTGCCAGGACACCTGAATGGGTGCAGTGTGAGCTTGGAGCTGTGGGTGGCCGTCTTTGCCACCTCACGGGGACAGCCTGCTGAGGAGGAAGCCAGAGCTGAGGGACAGAGAGAGAGTGAGAGAGGAAGAGCAAACAAGAAAGGAGAGTGTCCTGGTGACATTGTTTTAGGTCCTAGAATCTAGCTAAACCTAAAATGAATCCTCCCTCCTTGTAAGTGTGATTCCTGTCACTTGCAGCCAAGAGTCCCAAGAAGAAGAGAGAAGACGATCTGGCTGGGGAGGGAGAGGGAAGATTTGGATAAAGTGAGAAGATCCCAGAAGGCTTTCGCCTGGCAGGGAGGCTGGAGGAGGTGGAGCTGATGCTACTACACAGATGGCAAGGCTTGGGCAGGGACCCAGGAAGCTGCAGGCCCAAACCTGGCACCCAACCTGGTGCCAGCCCGCCTCTTGTTGGTGACTCCCCTCCCAGGACCCTGCAGATTGGAAAGAGCTTTCCAAGTTCTTCTCTCACTGGATATTCCTTGGCAGAAAGGCAGAGCTGAGATCATTATCTCATTTTGAAGAAAGAGACCGTGAGGCTCAGAGAGGGGAAGTGACTTGCCCAAGGTCACAAAGCAGGTTGGTGGCAGAGCCAGACAGCCTTTCTCTGCCACCTGTCCCATCTTGGCACCAACTCACCACCGTTCCCAGTTGGCACTGGCCTAGGAGTTAAGAGGTGTGGGTTCTGGTTGAGAGTCTGACACTGACTCCTGGGTGACCTTTGGCAGGCCACCTTCCCTGCTGGGTCACTGACTCCTCTTCCATACACAGAGGCCACTGGACTAGAGGACCTTCAAGGGCCCTGCCAGTTTTGACTCCAATGGCCTGCTGACCTTGAGGGAGAAACTCCCCAAGCCACTCCCCCTCCCAAAAGCTCCTGCCCCACTTCTGTTCTTTCCACCCTGACTCTGCCAGGCCTTAGGGAGCCCTGGTGGTTTGGGGTCCAGCTTGATGCTCTCAACTCAGCTAGCACCTGGCCCCGGCAAGGAGGCTGCCATCAGAAGACGGAGGAGGCGGCTGTGACAGAGTTGCCCAGGCTTATAGTGTAGCTGGGGAGACATCCTGTCTGGATGTGCCTACCCAAAACATGACAGCGCCCCCACCCCCACCCTGGCCCTTGCTCAAAACCCTCTGTGTCCTCAGGGACTTCACGATAGAGTGAGCAGTATGGGATAGCTACCAAAAAAAGAAGCTTCGGAGTCCCTAAAACTCAGGTTCAAATTGCAGCTCTGCTGTGTGACTTAGGGAAAGTTACTTTCCCTCTCTGAGCCTATTTCTTCAACTATAAATAGGGAAGCTAATCCCTCCCTTGAGAAGTTGTTGTGAGGACATGGAGACAGCACATAAATTAACAGACAATTAGACTTAATAAACGGTGGCTAATTAGTAGAAGACTTAATAGTCAAAGCTTCTTAGTTTGGCATTGATAGGATCTGGCTCAATCCCTTACTCCTGGTCAGCTCCAGCCCCCAAGCAGCTGAAATAACATTTGAAGTCCCACCTTCATTTTCCTTTTCTACATCCAAGTCCTCCCTGGTCTTCAAAGCACAGCACAATTCCTTCCTTTTCTAGGAAGACCTCACTGCCTGGCCCCACAGGCTCTCTCTTTCCACTGAATACGGAGCACTAGCTGCTTCTGTCACTCTTGGCCACCGCTCCAGCCTCCTGCACCCTCACATCCAACACACTCTCATTCATCTACACCCCATCCACATCCATTTACCCAACCTTCCGACACCTAACAAGTCCTCATCCACCCAGGTCCATCATTTATTTATTCACAGAACGTCTAGTCTGTGTCAGGCCCTATGCTGGCACTGGCATGCAGAAGCTGTGATCCCTGCCCTTTGGGAACTCAGAGGCTAGTAGAGGAGATGGATGGGAACTGAGACAGTCACAAACCAGTGCAGTCAGTGCAATAACCCAGGCCTGAATGATGCTGTCTCTCCCTCCAGTGAGGAGTGCAGAGATCGATTTAAATACATATGTATTTTCAATTGAGGTTCCACATCTTATGAATATCTCAATTCTAGAGGTATTATTTCTTATTAGAAAACCAAGTCAAATATTCCAGAACTTCTGCTTGTCCAGCAGTGATGTGCAGCTAATTAACAAACAAAGATAAGAACAAAAAATTGGAGGATTATCTTCCCCATCTGGTTACACCAGCTTGGACACAATAATCTGAGGGCCGCAGTGATTGTAAATCATAACTGGCCTTGGCGTGTCTTTTTTACTTCGATGGGACGAATTGTGTGGAGACAACAGCAACCTACTCCTTTGCAAAAATTTCAAGAGCATGTGCACTGAGGGAAAATACGACTTTGGGGATACTTTAACCTGGTCAGCCTGCAAGCCAGGTCAAGCAAGCTTCTTGAGTCTCTCTCTGAAGTGGGCCAGTATGCAAGTTCCTGTGGGCAACTGATGCAGCCCCCTCCCTGATCTCCTGGCAGAGGGAGGCTGGCCACCCACCGCCACCATCCAGTGCTTTTTCTAAAATACTAATCTGGCCGAGTCACTGTCATCAATGCAGCCCAGAGAGCCTGGAGTAATTCCTACAGCCTCTGGCTTGCCAACTCCCCAGCCACACAGGACCTGAAAAAGGCAGGATGAGTCCCCTGAACATAGTCCCACAGTGACAGACGACAACAAGTCACCCAGATTCTGTCTGGATCTGTCAACGCCCACAGAGTAAGTCCCACATGTCTGTCCACCAGGCCTCTCTACCCCGACCTCCACAAGGCTCTGTGCTGCTTTCCCCTGACCCAGCCCTCCTCGACCCCCTTTCAGGAGCCCTTCCAAACCAGCAAGGACCCCTACAGCCTCAGCCCCTTCCCTGAGGGAGCCCCCACCTCTTACATGTTGCACCCAAGGACGCTGCTTTCTCTGCAGTCTTCTCGAGTGACTCTGTTTTTCTTCTCTCATCCCCTGTTCCTCAGGCCCAAAGGTGGGGTTGATATCCTCTGGGGCCCCTAAGCTGCTTGCAGAACTGTACGACCCTGTGCCCCTGGGCTCAGGCCCTATGGCTATCCCACCCTCGTCCACGGCTGGCCTCGTCGTCCACTGGCCTTCGGATCTTCCCTTCTTTGAAACGAGTTTGATCCCTGCACCATCCTGGTCAACTCTGACACTCACCCAGCACCCCAACCTCTCAGTCTCTGAAACTCCTCTCCCATGACCTTTCCCTCCATTCCTCCTCATCCACAGCCAGCCATTGGACCGTGTCATCACCTGTAACTGCCCTGCCTCCAATGTCACCGATTCCACAGCCCCTCTTGGACCACCCCAGCTTGCTCCCCAGCACCCTTTGCGATGACGAGCCCAGTCCAGCTGGTCTGGTCCCCAGCCCCCGCCCCTCTACACCCTCCCATTCCCCAGTTCTTCACATCCCAACTTGGCTTCTGAGGTCACAAGATCCCTCACTTCCACATCAGCTTTGCCTGCACCCCAAACTCTCACATTCCTCTGCCTTTTCATTACACCTGTCAGGAAAAGCCACACCTGGATGAACCCAATGAATAGTTTTCTCAGTGTGTGCAAAGCAGTCACGCGCTGCTGGACAGACACTCCATGGGGCAGACTGGGGCCACCGTAGACCCGTAGTCATCGACTTCAAGAGGCTCCCCGATGCTGTCTCACAGGCCGACTAGGCTTCTCTGGGGAGCTCA